GATCCGTGCGCCCGAAAACGTGGATGAAAAAATGCGGACAAACAAAACACACACATACACACATATCCATTTTTTCTGAGAATGAGAATGAGAATGTTCAGAAACCTTCAAAACGTGAAGATATGCAAAAATTTCCATTTTCGATTCTCGGCCCATTACTATAACTACCCTAAGGAAAGTTTAATAGCAATACACAAGTACACCTTATAAAACAATTAAATGAGGTGTACCTAAAAATTATATTCAGCTATCGCAAACTAAATAACACTGCTCAAAACAAGCAACAAAAAAAAGATACTTTGGTTAAAACAACTTGACAGGTGTATCCTGGTTCGTGAATGATGATCTGAAGGTACTATATATTAGAGACTTCTTTAAAACAATATTGACTATCGATAATCATCATCAAAAATTCGAAAATCACCCTAATTCACTCGTTGCTTCGTTGCTCCATATACCAGAATCGAGAAGAATAAAAAAATAACTTAATCCAATTACTTAACTTAAGCCAATTAACTTCATCTAGCAAAATTGCATCAAATAGTTCACACACCAATGGTGCAGCAACTACTACATATATTTATATTTTATTAATGTCGATCTAAATGTCTCATAAAATTTAAATAATGCTCTGATCGTTTAAAAAAAAACTTTGGTTAAAAAATTGACAATGTGGCCGTTTATCTCGTGATAACGATGTCGCCCGATTTAAGGCTATAGCTGGTTACACATATTTTTTCCTTTACTTTAAATTATAGTATAGCTGAACAACTCTAAACTTTGCATGCTTTTCATTTTTTAAAGAATAATGTTACGGCAAGGTCATGTTATGAACTTTCCATAAAAAATATTGACAAAATCCATGTGGTTAGTGTACAGTCAGGCGTAGTTCTCAGGTTGTCAGATAGAAAACCAAACCTAGAAACCGCATAAACGCCAAGAAAAGATCTTAGATAACAGGGTCTATCTGACTCAGCTCCATAACATACGAGTGACGTTGCGGTTTTTATGAAAAACATCTGAATGCACAGCAAATACATGACATTTTGACAGTATTCACTATGATTCAGTAGCATAATGTATGGAAGTTAGAGCGTAACATGGCCTTGCCATAACATTTTTCTGTTATGCGGCATAATCAGTCCATAAATCTTTTTACCAAAAACTGGTTCTTTGACAAAAACTAAATTATAGTAAAATACAAATTAGTTTTTATGAGAAGCATCTATATTCCTTTTCCCCAGGTTGTCCTCCTCACATAAATCCGAAGAATGTTTCATTTCAGCCATAAGCGAGCCACAAAACGCATTGCCTAATGTGTTTTTCAGTAATTGACATTCTTATTAAAATGAGACGGTCGTTTTAGTAATATTAGAACAAATCTCAAATATTTTCATCATTATCATAAACAAACCATATAATTTATTTTGGACATTATACATTAAAATTCCTCCGGAGAAGAATATTTCAACTGAAATGGTAATAATATTCGAAACAAGCATGATAAGCTGTGTTTGGAAATAATTTAGAAAAAAGTTTAGATATTTAATAGTGAGATAGAATTGTTTATGTTATTTTCAAATATAGTAGAAAAATAAATGATATTTCTTTATATATTATTTGAACTTTCGGAAAGAGAAGATTGTATGTGCCAGAAAATCCGATTTGCTAATTTTGTGTGTTCTCAAAGTTTTGTCATTCTGAGTCGAACGAGGTCAAATTTGGAAAATGTATATTTGTGTATGTATGGCTGTGTGTGTATATGTGAGTCGATTTTTGAAATTTTGCCAACGTTCTCTCATGACAAATCACAGGCAAATTGCTGGAACTTAAAGTACCTAATATTAAATTCAAAAAAGCTTTGAAATTTTTTGAAAACTGAAAAAATAGATTTTGGAGAATTTTTGAAAAAAAAAGATTTTATTTTATATTTTGAAGATTGTTTTAAATTTCGAACTTTTTTGAAAGCAACTAATCACAAAAAAATCGTATATACTACTAATTTTTTTGCGTATCTTTACATTTCAGGGGTTTTTGAATATTCTGGCATTTCTTAGCAAAAATTGATGTATGTATATATATGTGTGTGTGTTCGTATGTATAGAAACAATTTTTCGCCTACGATAATGGAAGCACAACCGATTTGAATGATTCAAACAACATTCGATTTGTATTAATTAAGCGAGTAATTGATCAGATTTTTGCAAAGTCTGGTCTCAGAAGCTAGGAATAATAGTTTTTGAGAGCTCTGCGCATCCGATTTGAATGATTCAAGAAGCATATTGCTTGTATCGACGGTGTTTGTTTGCTAAAAAAAATTAAAGTATCAAAGAACTCAAATTTTCGAAATATTTCATTAAAAAAAAATCGAAATTTCAAAAAAAATCGAAAAATATCAAAATTTTAAGAAAAAACGATCACTTTATTCTAAAAAAAAATCGGATATTTTCAAAAATTCTCAAAAATTAAAAAAAAACGATTTTTTGAAAAAATTTAAAAAAATCCGAACTTTTAAAAAATTTCAAAATTTTGAAAAAATTTCGATATTATCAAAAAAATCAAATTAAAAAAATTCTTGTAAACATACAGATAAGTTGTTTGTAGGACAAGCTCGTCGCTCACTAATAAGCTCCTATTAATTTACAGTGTGTATTTATAATAAATAATCTATTTGAAATTATTTAAAACAATTATTGCTTATTATTATTCCTCGAATATTTAATTACGATACGGAAAGTTCCAGCAATTTGCCTTAAGGCACGATTCCATGCATACCACTAGTTATTTTCCTTATAATGATACGGTAAGTTTGAGCAATTCGCCTTAAGGCACGATGCCATGCACCACTAGTTCAACAATTGCATCAAGCAAATCAGCACATGGTTCTTGTCCATTTTAAGTATGTCGTCCACCGTAAGCCCACTCTGTCAGATATCAAATTAAGCGATTAGACTAATCACAGTCGCTTAATTATCGTCGCAGCTCCTCCTAATCCTTTATCCTTTATCCTTTATTATCCGGCTGTTCAGAGTCGGAGGGCCGATAGCGCCCGTTCATTTGTCATCTGGTCCCGCCGGCCGCACGCGATCTCATTACACTTCCGCTGTTTTTATATATTTACATTTTTCGCGGGCACATTTTCTTGTCGTTGCGTGAAAATGGAACTGGAAAATACTATAATAGGAATGCATTAGGCAAAACCGAAAATTTATGCTTCGAGCGCTTGTGACTTTGCGATTTTTATTACGGCGTTATTTATTGCTCTTAGTACGACTTATGTCTAATGACGGTTTTTAAGTTTTCATAGCTAAGAGAACGATTCTGTCGTAAAGTATACGTATTTATGGCAAGACTATGTTATGTAGCGTTTCTTATATAAAATGGTACTGAAAACTATCAAAATGCTATGTGGTCAGGCATTCCACATATAAAATGCAACTTCACTCATATGTAATTATGACACATCATAAATGTGCAGTCATGATAACATATCTGTGCATTTTGTAGGTTAGTTCTTCTATCTAAACGCCTCACTGCACATAGAATTTTTACAATTTTTAGTACTATTTTATATGAAAAACGCTACGTAGCATAGGTTTGCCATAATATTGGTCTATTTTATGGCAGAATCGAGACCCGGCTCTTCAGTGTATTAAATTTTGTTTCTGTAAATTTTAGATAAATTATATTTATTAAACTTATTTAATAAATGTTAAACAATATGCTCGAGTTTATACTTAAAAATATCAGCGACTTGCTATAATTAGCTTGATATCAAATAGTACAGATATCAAGATTTACCCACTTTGGTAAAATATTCAACAGTTATTTTGAAAATAAAAATTGCGATTTTACCAAAAAATCATCAATATGATTTTCAATTCCATTTTGGATTTTATAAATCTATTTTATTTAAGTGTGAGAATCAAGTGTAATTAGTGGCTACATACAAAACATGGAACGTACATATGTTTTGGCATATTTTCTGATTAGAATTGTTTTAGCCCCAAAATTCAGAACTTTTCATGAAACTTTTATAATTCAACATCTTATCGTAAACCCATAATATTTTACTATGTTATCCATTGAAATCATTAAAAAACATTTTTTAAACAAGACATTTATTGAACTAATCATCGCGATTTCCACCCAATTTGCATTTCTAAAGTCGATTAAAGATATTATTAAAATTATTAACTTCCCGTGGGGTAGTTAAAGTAATGGGCCAAAAATCTAAAATAAAATTTTTTGCATTTCTTCACGTTTCAGCAATTTTTGAACATTTTGGCATATCTCAGAAAAAAATGTATATGTGTGTGTGTTTTGTATGTCCGCATTATTATTATTATTATTATTATTACTATAGATATTAGATCAAATATGCAACCCCATTCCATCAAAATTAATAATTTACAACTAGCATATACATATGTTAAGTAAGTACTAAAAATACATGTTTTATTAGCCTTTGCTTAATGATCCCAAAGATTAGCGTCGCGTTACGAACGGGGTCAGTAATCAACTGTGATTTTATTTGTGATTAAATATAGTATACCTAGGTGTACGACATGATTAAATTTACGACTCATAATTTGTACTTTCAGAAAGAACAATCGTGTTAGCACTAGCGATATTATGAGCAATAATTGAGCACTAGCAATGTACATAAAAATATTTTATTAGGTATAATTTTAGGAGAACCTAAATGAAAAATTAATATAGTTTCATGTTGTATAGAAACAACCAATACCAGTAGCAATTGGATATTTTGACGATGATAAAGGAAAAAAATCTGCTTTATAACTCTAAAACGCTTCAAAGATTAATTTGTTTGAATACCCTTTTGATATTTGAAATTTCATACAGAATAGAATGTTGGAGAAATTATTACTTATCTAAAGGGTTTTATATATTTGCTTACATTTACATAGACTTGCAAATAGACTTTGCATTAGTTGAAATTCCTTTTATTGACTAAAATCATTTATTACTCTACTTACCAGTGGCGTGCGCCGATAGTAAATCACAAGGAGGAGATCCATGTGCAGGCGAAAGTCCGATGGCGCTGACACGAACGCTAAACCTGGCTCCTGATCGTTGCCTCCGGTCAGCAATTCCCTTGTAGAGCCAGGAAATAGCACAGGGGATAGCCCCTAAAGCCCCGATACGAGTTGACAACATACTTGTTGATTGTCCTGAAAAAAAAGGTTGGATATAAATATTGGAATGTATAAAGATCCAATCTAATAATTAAATTGAAACCATTAGGACATTCGTTTTTAAGCAATTATTTTATCCTAACCCTCATGGTTGTTTTTCATGCCATGCCATCTCATGGCGTGTAAATTTTAATTCTATATTATTGTCAATAAAACCAATATCAATATGACCTTTGCTAAACATTTCTACCTGAAGTGCCATATTCGTGAAAATATTTTCGGCCGCTAGTTAGTATTAATGATTCACGTGACTCAAGTTACATATTAATTTAATACCAAAAAAATGGTTTGAACAGATTTTCTTATTTTTTCTACCTATTTTCAATAATTAAATCAATTTATGGGTTAAATCAATAATTTTATATCCCATAAAGGGTTTAATCTGTAACTACATCTACAGTAAAAATATGTCCATAACCCATTTTGTTTTGACGTGAACTTATTTGCAGTTAAAATTTCATATGTCATAAACCAGCCGTATAAAAAATGTATTATTTGTGATAAAAGCAGAAAGTCCAAAAGCGGATATGCTAATCCATACAAAATTTAACAGCCATCATTCAAAAATTTAATACCACGGTAGGAAGCATGTAGATAATCTCTCTGTCATATGTGCATCATACGTTATTCGGAGGTAGAGGAAAATAGGGTAAACTATATGATATATTACATGTAGACTTATAATAAAATAATTAAAATGATACTCATTAGTATTCTTTATTATGTCTGGGACAAAGTGTCCCAGAACTCAACGTCAAGCCAAAATGGAATAATAGTATAAAACTATTACGTCCGAAGCTTTGGTGAAACTGATCATTTTTCGGTTATAGACGTTGATCTTCACTATAATTGTATATTGAAACTTAAGAACCGCGATAGTAAATAAAATTTTTGAGACCACAGTCAAAAATAATGACTGCAATTGCACCAAGTTTTCTAAATTTAAAACTATTTGTTAAACTATGTATGTATTTAAATATGATCGGCTTTGAAAAGCTCTCCTCCAAAACATGTACTGATGTGTCTTCAAAAATTTGATAAAAAATTTGCGCATTTTGTCAGGATTGTGAAATAATGAATTTACTAATATTTTCATAATAAAACAAATCGAGAAAGAGAACAAAAATCTAAATATAACAATTTTTGCTATAAATTCAGTAAAAAATGATTATTATTAAATTCTATTTCTACTAGCTCAGTTTTCACCTAAATCATATATTATTTTGCATCATATAGGTGTCGCATTGAAATGAGAAGCATTCATAATGCTTTTGACAATCATAATCAGCGTTTTGAACACTGTCCTTGAAATTAACCTTTCATCAAGCATGACAAATTAAAACAAACTGCCAATTAATAGAAGTAATAGTAGAATTTTTAGTCTCATCAAAAATCCTATAATTGGAAAAAATATTCCTATGGAAAAAATGATCTAAAATATAATATGTACCAGTTGTATACTGTGAATGTTTTAATTACCAATAAGTAATACATTATTTTAATAACTTTATTAATTTAAATTTTAATTTCCACCATGTTCCTGGTTGTCAACAAGATGGTGTTGTTGAATTTTAACATAAATTTCGCATTTCTGACAAAGACACGTCCTGAATTGAATTGTGAAAACGCGTAGAGAATAATTAAAGCGACTCCGGCGCCGCATCTCAGTCATAATAATAAAAAATAGAGATACTGAAATACGAGAAAACGCCTCGAGATCGGTGGTTTTTGGTTCTGGGTGTGGGTGTTATTAAGAAAAATACTATTGGGAATCTTACATTCTAAAAGTACGACGAGAGAATATGTCATTCGTAATTTTAACGTGAATATTTGAAATTCTACTGGGAGACACCTGATTCGTAGAGGATAATAATCAGAAGCGAATTAGATAATGCACAATTAATAATAAAAGTTGTTTTGTGCTAATACATAAATAATGTTTTATGAAATTTCACAAGAGTAAAATTTATGCTTATTTATTACCTTTATAATTATTCTTAAAGCACATGTTAAAATAAATTTATTGTAAAATGCATAGGAAATTAGAATAAAATACTGTATTGAACTTTTAACGGTCTAGTTTGAAGAATGCTAATATTTCGTAGATTCAAATCTACTAATGAGATATAAAAATAAAGTATTGATAAGCCATTTATCCTCATCATCTTACTATAATCGAAAATTTAGACAAGTATACAGATAGACAGGTTCACAGGCTGACTAGTAGACAGGATCCAAAATTCATTACTGTTAAATTCATTCATTTGACAGGTAAACATGCAGACAGGTATACAAATATACAGGTAAACAGGTAAACAGAAAGAAAAATAGAAAAAAAGGTAGGCCGATAAGCAAATTGGCTTTTATAACTGGTAGACATGTAGATAGATAGCAGCAAGGCAATTAGACAGGTGAACAGGTAAACAGCTGAGAGAGTTGAAAAAAAGACAAAATAAACAATATAGACAAATAGACTAGTAAACCGATAAACTGATAGAGAGGTAAGCTGATAAACAAGTAGACTAATGGACAGGTAAAAAGGTGAACATGTAAACAGCTGGATACGTAAGCAGGTGAATGTGGATCGGTAGACGGGTAAATAAACAGACAGACGAACATTTAAACATGTAGATGGTAATATAAATACAAAGATCGACAGGTGAATAGGTACACTAGATCATATATAAACTAACTAAAAGTGGGTGGCATAGTGCCTTAGGGCAAATTGCTGGAACTTCCCATACCGTAACGAAATGTTCGAGGAATATTAAATGTTTTCAAATAGATTATTATAATTACTGTAACATTGTCTAATATTTATAAGAATTATATAAACTGAATTGCAAAGTTTAAAGTATATTAGAACAGAATTAAAATTTAAATCTGAAATATTTACGATACACAAAAGAAAAATTTAGAAAAAAAATGGAAACAATTTTTTTTCCAAAAGCAATTATTTTATTGTAACAAGCAGAAAGTTCTTTGAATCATTCAAATCGAACGCTTAGTTCTCTCAAAAACTGCCATTTTTTGCACATTTGGCTCTGTATCTCCAAAACCGATGGACCTGCCTTTACCAAAAACTAAACACCTCTTCTCCCAATCATTACAAATTGAATATTTTTAGATCACTCAAATCGGATACTGCATTCTCTCAAAAACTCGATTTGTATTTTCTGCATTCTTTGCTCCGTCTCTCCGTAACGACTGAACCTACCTTTACCAAAAACTAATCAGCACAACTCCCTATCAATAGGAATCGAATGATTTTTGAACCATTCAAATCGGTTGATCCGCGCGCCCAAAACCGTGGATGAAAAAATGCGGGCATACAAAACACACACATACACACACCATCCATTTTTGAGGTATGCCAAACTGTTCAGAAACCTTCGAAACGTGAAGATATGCAAAAATTTCCATTTTTGATGTTCGGCTCATTACTATAACTATTTTTTTTTTTTTTATTTATGATTTATTGGCTTTATAAACTAGTATATTAGCCATATACATGAGTTAAACTTATTTAAACATTTACTATATCATATCATATCTACACTATATCTTAGTCTTGTCTTACATATATATCACTGACTTATGTATATTTCATTTGTAATTTTATATGTATGTATTTATGTATATTTTATTTATAATTTTATATTATTAGATTTTATATAAGTATACAGAGCACCATATAGTCTTACATCTGTTAACATTGTTATAAAATTAATTGGAAGGCAGATTTTATGTTTAATAATTTCTTCCCATAGTTTTTGCCTGCCCTTTTCCCAACGTTTACACTCCATAATGATGTGTTCTGCATCCGCCCTAGTCGCTTCACCCAAGCAGTAGCAACTAGGATCGATATTGATCCCAATTCTGCTTAGGTGGAACGGAGCGTATGAATGATTTAGTCTTAATCTACATAGTGTAGCATAAAAAGGCCGACACTCCGTGAATCCGTCATACCATGGTTTGGCTGGAATTTTTCCTTGTATCATACCATAAAAACTTCCTTTAATTCTTATCGATGACTGGAAATCCAATTGCCAAATATTCCGAATGTTTGCTCTGTTACATCTTTTTATGTCACTATATGATATTCCATCCGCAACAACAGTCCCTGTATTTATAGCATCTTTGGCGCCGTTATCCGCCGCTTCATTGCCAGCTATCCCAATATGGCTTCTTACCCATATAATGCGTAACTCCCATTTTTTTAATAATATCGCATGTATGTCATTTAATGTGTCTATCGTTAATAATGACGGGTCCTTTCCCAACGACAACATGCCCTCAAGAGCAGACCTGCTATCGCTGATTATGACCGATTTCTTCACATTATGTTCATCAATATACTTTACGCACCTATTAATAGCGTACATTTCCGCTGTATATATTGACGCATCTTTATCTAATCTATATTTTGTTAAGGAATTTGTCCCCTGATGGTAAAAACACGCACCGACACCATCTGAATTCTTCGAACCATCTGTGTAAAATATATCATAGTCTTCAAATGTTTCCTGTATACTTTCTTCGATCTCCATCCTACATTTATTGGTATCTCCACTATAGTGCACATTGGCGAAATCGATTTGAATTATATTTTTCAGATTAGAAGAAGTAACATTGTACTTGAAATGAAATCTTGAGGTTGCTGCCCAAGTTTGTAAGAGATTACATTTTTCAACCACTTCACTATACGCAGTTACTAGAATAGGCCTCTTCCTATTTCTCCAGTATGGGCTGTTGAGTTCATTATTGATCTGATTCACATTCTTTAATACTACGTTATTAAATTTCAATCTATCTATGATGAAGTTTGAAGCCAACAATCTCCTCCTCAAGTGTAAAGGATATATGTTAGCTTCAACATGTAATGCATTGATAGGAGTGGAACGCATGACCCCCAAACAAGACCTCAAAGCTTTGTTTTGGATTGTGTCTAGTTTGCTAAGTACACTTTTGGATGC